AAGAGCAGAGAGAGACAATAATGATGGTGATGATGAGGATAATGATGGTGTGGATGAAAATTATGATGTTAATTATGACGATAATGATAGTGATGATGAGAATAAAGATGGAGATGATGACGACAATGATGTTGATGACGAGGATAATGATGATGATGAAGATAATTAGGGTGGCTATGATGATGATGATGATAATGATGATGATGTTGATGATGAAAAGGAAGATAATGATAGTGATGATGGGTACGATGATGGTGACGATGAGGATATAGGTGATGAGGATGAAGATAATGATTAAAAGGATGAGGATAATGATAGTAATGAGGATAATGAAGGAGATGGTGATGATGATGATGAAGAAGATGATGATGATGATGAAAAGGAGGATAATGAAATTGATGAGGATAATGATGGTGGATAATAATGGTGATGATGAGGATAATAATGTTGATGATGGAGATATTGATGTTGATGATAAGGATAATGATATATATTTATAAGGAAAATTATCACCAATACGAAAACTTACACCTTTCTTCTTTCAACCAGATATTTCGAAGAATTTTCTGTCCAACGTCAGTGCTAAAGAAATTAACTCATATAAGACCAATTAAGGCTGATAAAATAAACAACAAATATTATTAGGATTTAATACACACTATTATAACACTAACACTTTAATGAGGATAATTAGACAAGAAAATAATAACATAATTACCAAAAATATCAAGAAAATTGTACTAACGACTGTTTAACCATAGATCAAACCACAAAGGCCCACTTACGCATGGCAAAGGGAGAACTGTTGTTTAGGATGGGTTTACCATTAGAAGTATAAAGGGACTGCAGGATTACAAGGCCCGTCCTGGAAGACATAGATGATAGTACTTTTAAATCCTGAATGGTGAAGGCATGGCTACTAGGTGGATGTTGTGTTCGTAATGAAACACCTTTACGGTCACAAATCTTGTGTTGTGACAACTTTATAGTGCAGCCAATATATCTAGTGTTACAGTGAGGACATGTATAACAGTGCACAACGTAACCTAACCTATCTGTAAGGGCGGAAACGATCTTCCTGCTCGTTACCGCTGCTTGCTCTCTCGAAGGCTGGTACGACCAACACATAGGGGGGTTGGACAGAGGTGAGAACGGCAGCGGCTACCTTTTTTTTTTTTTTTTTTTTTTTTTTTTTTTTTTTTTTTTTTTTTTTTAGGTTAAGGTGGGGAAAGGATGGAAGGTATGCTGGGGCTCAAGGCACAGCCAGACATGAGGGATGGAGAAGTCACAACATATAGTCGTGGGGGGAAAGGTTGGAAAAGAAGTTTAATGAGTTAAACAGAGGGGGACGACACCCCTTGTTTTACATATGACAGAGTTTGTTGGCTAACTAAGCTAACCTAGGATTTAGAATGAGGTTGCACAATGGTTATTTTAGTAGACAATGACTAGATTGATTTTACAATTACAAGTTTATTAACATCTTATACTGTATTACGTTATGGACTCACTTGATTGTGACTTGTTAAATGTGAATTTATATCATCTAAGTTTTAATCTAAGGTTCGATCACTGTGGCGGACATAGATGGATCGCGGGTTGGGTTGTTGTAGTGCGGGCAGACTCCGGGGCCACCAGGCGTGGGGTCTACCTCCGTTGATGTCTTCCCCGCGTAGGTGGTCTGGGCTGTGAGGGTCGTCCAGGACCCTGTCCCAAACCTTCTTCCCTAGGCGATGGAACCTGAAGTTGAGGGCCTCTGTTTTATTTCTTAGGTGGATAGTTTCCATTGTCTCCTGGTAGGGTGGCGCTTGGCCACTGGCTGACCTCAAACACTTGTTTTGGAAACTCTGTAGTTGTTGTAGTCTAGTCTTCCCGAGTGTGACGAGTGGTATAGATGGGTACTCCAACACAGGCCTCACAAGCGCCTTGTACAGGTGAACTTGTACCTTCTCAGGCATCAATTTAAAACGTTTTAATTTGGCTGCGGCGACTTTGGCTTTATTTAGTCTGTCCTTCATGTGGGGAATGATGCCTTTCCGAAAAATGATGAAGCCGAGCAACCTGCCTTGTTTAGAGTACTCAATCTCTTCGTCGTCGATCGTCATTGGGGTCGGCTTGAATTTGGCTATGGGTATGACCTCAAATTTCGTTTTGTTTGTTTTTATTTTCCATTTATTTTCATACTCCGAGATCTCCTCTATTGCCCGAGCAGTGAGTCGCGCCATCCTTGCTGTGGACCTTCCTGGGCAGGTGACGATCTGTGTTACATCGTCAGCATACATGAAGTACTCGCTGCCGACGATTGGGGGTGGCAGCTCAGCCGTGTAGAGTGTGTAAAGGGTTGGTGAGAGACAAGAGCCCTGAGGCACGCCGTTCGATAGTGACAATTCTTCTCCAAAATGTTCTTGCATCTTGATTTTGGCTCTGCGGTCCATAATGAAGTTGCACAGCAGGCGCGTCAGATTTTCGGGTAGCCCCAGTTGTATGATCTTATACTGCAGCCCCGCGTGCCAAACTTTGTCAAACGCCTTGCTGACGTCCCTCAGTACTATATTGCACTGCAGGCGGCCAGTCATGGCAGTGGCGATCTGCTCGTAGGCCTGAGCTATGGCGGTGGATGTGCCTTTGTACTGGCGGAAGCCGAACTGGCGGGGATTATGCACGTCTTCATCCTCCAGATACATCCGCAATCACTTGTTGACTATTTTTTCGAGGATTTTGGCAGGTACCTCTAGCAGCGATATTGGTCGAAAGTTTTCGACTTTGCTTGGAGGCTTCCCTGCTTTTGGTGTGAGGCGAATAACGGCGATTTTGAACATCTTAGGGAAGTGTCCAGAGGCGAGGCAGGCGTTGCATATATGAGCAAGCCTCTCTATCATGTTGTCGGGGAGTTGGGCCAGGATCTTCTTGTTAATGTGACTTTGACCAGGTGATTTGTTTTTAAACCCTTTTATGACGGCTGACATATCTGCAGGAACTATACGCTCCGTCAGGTAGCTTCCGTCCACCAGTCAAGTGAAGTCAGTCCGTGGGAGCAGCTGGAGCAGGTGCTGATGGTCCTGCAACTGACCTAAAATATCCTCCTCAAACTCCCTGTCGAAGCCCTAGCTACCCCACTGCTCGTCAAATTCTGGCTGTGATCTCATCATAGGTCCTGGACTCGTGGGCCGTTTTCCCAGACCTTCACCTATCAACTGTCAATTCTCTAGACATCAACCACTACAGCTGCCGCCACGACCGCCAGGTCCTCTCCACCGTCTGTGCCCCGGTGTTTCGTCTGCTGTATCAAGACATCGGCTGCTGTCGCTCGAGTGAGGAGTTGAACGGACGCTTCCTCCCCCCCCCCAAGAGCGGATCACTGTGTTCCAGAACCTTCCCCAGGGCCACTGCCGAAAGAAATATCTGTTCATTGTTTGATTCTATTGTTTGATTCCTTTAATTGCTGACTCCCATTAATTGTTTGCTTCCTTTAATTGTTTGCTTCCCTTAATTGTTTGACTCCATTAACTGTTTACTGCATTAATTCTTTGACTCCCGTAATTGTTACTTGATGTTTATTGAGTGGTGTCAGAGTCTTGTGTTATATTTTTATAGTAAAGAGATCACAAACGGTTGTTTGTTATTCCTCGGTCAACCATGGTCCTTGACTTTCCTTTATTAAGATCCTCATTAGTCTGGTAAGGGATTTCCATCCCTAAGTCCCAGGCCTTTACACTATACTAACCTAACCTATCCTAACATAATCAAATTCATATATATTATTGGTATTTTATAATAGTCAGTGCTTCTTATATGAAACAAAGCATATTTACCATTAGATTATAACACTAAAACCGAAAAGTTATTACTATTTAACAAAAACGTGAAGTACATTGACGTCTTAATCACGCAACTATACCTATACACAATGCATATTGCTCATTTTGTGTGGCATTTCAAATAAATTCGAATAAATGATAAACTAGGAAGATACTTAGTCGCCTGGGTAAAATACTGAAGTTTTAAGAAACCTATACCATATCATGAAGTTTTTTACCTACGCTCACTTGATGGCGAAGCCTGAGATAAGACACGCGCTATTCTACAATAGCCTGCTAATGCTTCATCTCTTTACTTATGTTCATATTGGAAGAAAGCTTCATGAATTAATGATACATGGACTACAGACACAAGATTTATGTTAAATGATAACACAACAAACTTTGTTTGTTTGTTTTTTCAAACTATTGTGAAATTTTACTTTTGGGGAAAGAGAAGGAGACGATAGACTTTTCTAACTCCTGTTTCGGCGAATGTAGTCAATATATTATGACTTCACCAGCTTATGATAATTAATACGAAGTTTTAGTCGATAAATATCCTCTGCTGATTTGATTAATTCATTAGGAATGCGAAAATCAAGATTTGAGTGTACAAAATAGAGGATATGTTATTTTCTACGATGAAATAGTAAAATAATGTTCACGTTAACCACATGCAAATTAACAGCGTTTCCTTAAAAGCATTAAATGTGTGCGACAAAAGTATTATAATTACTTTGAAAAACCCTAAATATTTTCAGCTACAGGAAAGGCCTTTCTAAATCCCACTATTAATTGACTGATTCACTCACTCACTCCCTGAAAGATTTCACTTCGCTTTTACACAGCTGATGACCAATTCATAATCACTCAAGACATATAGTGTACTATTCAAAGATGACCTAGAATCAAGAATCTTTAGGCTGTGTTAGTGAGTGTTTGACTTAAAGGCTGCAGTGAAGAACACATAACGTAGGTGGGGCGAGGTAGCTAGAGAAATTTTCTCCAATTGCTAAATATCAGGTAAGGCGTTCATTGACCTAGCTCCGCAAAGTGAAAAAATAAAATATCATGAAAGCCTTAACGAGAAGAGATTCAGCTGATTAGTTTCGGGATTAATTGGTGACAAAATCATGGGCGAAAAACTGGGACAGAATCCATTATAAAGTTTGAACGCCACACACATAAAATTTTTACACCATGGCGCCCTGGACTAGCTTGGTATGTCCACCACAACCCTGACTGACTGTTGCGCTGATTCTTGCAATTACTAGCAGATGGCGATAAAAGAGATCTTAAACCTTTAATTTAAATAAATATAAACACTTAGTCGCTCGTCTAGGTTATGTGACCCTGAAAGACCCCCGTCATTCTCGTCAAGCCTTTGGGTGTCTCACTCTTGTTGTTGGTAAGACAACTCCATCCAGCACATAGGTTGACGGCCACGTCTTCTTACGTTTATGTTTAAGTTAATGTCTTCTAAACGTATTCCTTCATTTTCTCCCTCCCCTCCACCCTGGCTGGATGCCCTGCCAATCCCACAACCAGTGCATTCCTCGGGATCTTCACTCTTTGCTAAATGTCACACCATAAAACAACGTGATATTCTAACTTCCTGAATACATTTATTTAATCTCTTGAGTATAACTTTTATGAATATTTTGTTTGGGGTTGCACGTACTTTAATGCTGCTATACGATAATTTAATATTTCCATGTTCATAATAATATTTGTTTGTGGTTAGTTTCACTAGCAAGCACAGTTTTCTAACGAGTTCTCCTTACTGTTATATTACCTCTTCCTGATGCCTAAATATTTTTCGGACTCTATACCCTTACTATCTACATTTACGCTTTAATACACCTCTTTTACGGAGGCTTCAAGTTGTGAACTATTTGATAAATCACAAAACTTCTCTCTAGTAGTTATACACGGGCTCTTTAGTTTTTATCTCGATGTTTCATCTCTATGTTTTCGTCGTTGACCTTGATGATTTCCAATTAGACATTAGGTTGTCCGAAGGTTTGGTTGGTTTAATTTTATTTCTTGATCTTTAAGCCTTTATATATTTGTTGTCTTCGTTCTTATAGATGCAGAACATTTTGTAATATTCAAGCAGCGTAAATCTGCCTTCCACGAGTTTTATTCATATAACAATTGCTTTATTAATATTAGAACATATTCAGTGTTGATATTAAATCAGTATCTGCATCTGAATGCTGATAAAATATTATCAACAATAATGTTAGATAAGACTTTTCTCATTTATAATCCTGATGCAGATTCTTATTAAAATAAGTTCAAAAACAAAGCTTTAACGAAATAAATGCCTATCGAGGTTCTAGAATTTCAATAAGTTCACCGACAGATTAAACAAAATGAAACTTCCAGGAATAGATATGGCTCACCGTGATCAGAACAGATATAAAATGCAATATTCATTATTTAGTCTCCTCTCACTTTATATATGCATTATCTTTTATGAACAGAATATGATTAATATCAATCTCCGTTGCAGGCGCTGTTGTCCGCACTAGCGGTTAGCACGCTTAGTTCGCCTCGGCCCGACGAAAGTGCTTACAAAATTCCGCATGTGGGCACTGGACGACGTTCCCAGTACTATGTTCAACACGCTGATGGAACCTTCAAGTACGGCTATGACACCGGTGAGGGAGCCTTCGAGGGTGCTCGTTCATCCAGGGTTGGTCAGGTAGATGGAAACTTCGGCTACAGGGACCCTGAAGGCAACAATATTCACCTCCAGTATGTAGCTGATGAGGGTGGATTCCAGCCCAAGGGTGCCCATCTCCCTGTCCCGCATCCTGACTTTGCTCTTGCCCACGCTGAGGCTCGTGCTCGCCCTTCATTCACCGACCCCCTTGCTGATCCAAACGCCGATGCCTCATATGGCTTCCAGTTCGCTGGAGAAGGTCAGACACGTAGCGAACAAAGTGATTCAGACGGTAATGTGCGTGGCTCTTACACTTACACTGACGAAGAAGGTCGCACACGAACCTACACTTACACAGCCGGTGTGTTTGTCTAAAGTCTACCGAAGGTCACGTCCATAAGCAACGACCAGGCTCTCCTCCTGCCATTATTGATTTGACCTACTTCTCCGGCATCTCACCACTCCTTCCAAAACATCTACAGCTTCAGGAGCTCCATCTCGTCGTGGCATGCACTGGGCGTATGCCAGAAACCGATTAATTGATCCGTTCTGAGTCTGCTGACGCTAACCTCAATGTTGATGGAAAATTTTCTTTCGTGGCTGACGACGGTGTCAGACGCAGTGTCACTTACGAAGCTGGAAGTGACACGGGATTCCTGGCTCGAGGCGATCACCTTCCACGAGCACCACAGTCACACTCCGGGTCTCAAACTTCATCATCTGCATTTTCATCATCACAAACCCCTTACCGCAGTCCATCAGCGTCCCTACCTTCTTCCGTCTCTAGCACCCCAACTTTCTCTCGCTCACCATCTGCTCCACGTCTTCCCGGCTTCACAAGCTCACAAACTCAGTACAGCTCCCCGTCCTCACGTCCCTCAGCACGCCCATACACAGGTCAGTTCGAACCTGCCAATACTCGCAGCCAACAGTCACCTGACGGAAGTTATTCATTTGCTTACGAAACGTCCAGTCACTCACGAGCAGAATCAGGTGACAGAGACAACAACGTGGTGGGAAACTTCGACTTTGTTGCTGATGATGGACAGCGACGAGCTATTGAATATGAAGCTGGGTCCCGTACAGGATTTATTGCTAAGGGTGATCACATTCCTGTAGGACCCGCGGTTCCAGGAGCACCCTCCGGTCAACCAACAGGTAGAATCGTCCCTGTTCAAGAGGTCCCCTTCGTCGACCCTCTCGCTGACTCCAACGCTGATGCCTCCTATAACTTCGCCTTTGACTCGGAGCAATATTCACGCTCAGAGAGCGCAGACGCCGACGGCAATGTCCGTGGCACTTACACAGTGGTAGACGATGACGGCACTCGACGCACTCACCGATTCCGTGCAGGTGAGGGCATCGGCTTTGAAACTGAGGAAGTGTCAACTTCACGTGGTCCTCCTCCATCTCGCTCTCCATCATCTGCCACCTTCCGCAGCCCAGCGGCCCCCGGCACAGCGGTGTCATCTTCTACTTCCTTCACTGCACAACCTCAAGGCAGTTTCCCGTCTCCCTCCACTAGAACTGCCTCAACAAGGTCCTCATCATCTTCCTTCTCGCCATCGGCAACAGGCACCAGGCCGGACGCCTCTAACTTCCAGCTTCGCCAGTACGATGCGTCAGAGAACCGTGGTAAATATGGTTATGTACTGACATTTGACAATTAACTAAAACAATACAAAAGGCTTACCGCTGCTTCTTCTGATTTAAGAAGAAATTTGTGAAAACATCTCACACTTAAAACAAGTTAATTACAAACTGTTATCTGCCAATGCCTATAAAGTTATATCTGTACATATATATATTTACGAATGAACAAGTTGCATTACAAAAAATACAAAAAAATATGGACTACGAGGTATAATGTCATACTTCATGTAACTTTTGTTGTCCCTTTAATCGCGCAGTAAAAATCTATAAAAATAAATGTTTATATGTGCATTACTATCCCCCAAAAATTATGAATTATCAGAGGCAGTAAACATGCCTGTTTGAGGTCCTGTCAGGGTAGACCAGCTTAGGACCATGGCAGTAAGTGTGGATATGAGTCTCCCCTTTTATCTTCTAAATGCCACATTATGTCTAAGAATTAAAATATAATAAAGAGGTAAACACCTTATACATTTTTACTCTATCCTTTACTTATAAAAAAAACTAATTTACTTCGTATTTGAGGAGTCTGAGAACAAAGGCAGTCATATTACTTGAATTTGTACATTTTCAGCAAACAGCTCAAACAATTTCTTTATCTCACTGTAAGGCGAAGGCTGCTTGAATAAACTTTATTTTATCTACTTTATAATCTTTGTAATCTTGCATAAATCCAGCCCACTTATGCAGACTGTGATACCAATAATGATAAAAGATTAGCGTGCATCACACTCCTGTCACTTAACCCCGTCTCGTCGTGCGTTGTTCTCAGTTAACAAGTCATCGTGGTATATGATAACTGTTAACCCTCCAGTGCGATGACCTGTTTCCTAGAATATATGATATTGCGCTAAGGCATTATTGTCATCGTAGTCAAGAGGTTAAGTTATCGTTCTCAAAGCGTTAAGTCATCTAACTGATGCGATTAAAATATCATACTGGAGATGTTACTTATCGCACTGAAGGGATAAAGTCATTGCGGTCACGGCGTTAAGTCATCATACTACAGGAGATAGGTCATCATACTGAAGAGGTTAAGTCTTCGTACTACAGGAGATAGGTCATCATACTGAAGAGGTTAAGTCTTCGTTCTACAGGAGATAGGTCATCATACTGAAGAGGTTAAGTCTTCGTACTACAGGAGATAGGTCATCATACTGAAGAGGTTAAGTCTTCGTACTACAGGAGATAGGTCATCATACTGAAGAGGTTAAGTCTTCGTACTACAGGAGATAGGTCATCATACTGAAGAGGTTAAGTCTTCGTACTACAGGAGATAGGTCATCATGCTGAAGAGGTTAAGTCATCATACTACAGGAGATAGGTCATCATACTGAAGAGGTTAAGTCTTCGTACTACAGGAGATAGGTCATCATACTGAAGAGGTTAAGTTATCATACTACAGGAGATAGGTCATCATACTGAAGAGGTTAAGTCTTCGTACTACAGGAGATAGGTCATCATACTGAAGAGGTTAAGTCTTCGTACTACAGGAGATAGGTCATCATACTGAAGAGGTTAAGTCATCATACTACAGGAGATAGGTCATCATACCGAAGAGTAAGCAAGTTCCTGGTATTACAGGAGACAGGGTCATCATACTGAAGAGGTTAAGTCTTAGCACTACAGGAGATAGGCCACACTACACTGAAAGAGGTTAAGCCATCATAATTACAGGAGATAGGTCAACACACTGAAGAGGTTAAGTCACTTCACTACAGGAGATACCATCATACTGAAGAGGTTAAGTCTTCGTACTCACAGGAGATAGGTCATCATACTGAAGAGGTTAAGTCATCATACTACAGGAGATAGGTCATCATACTGAAGAGGTTAAGTCTTGGTACTACAGGAGATAGGTCATCATACTGAAGAGGTTAAGTCTTCGTACTACAGGAGATAGGTCATCATACTGCAGAGGTTAAGTCATCATACTACAGGAGATAGGTCACCATACTGAAGAGGTTAAGACTTTGTACTACAGGAGATAGGTCATCATACTGAAGAGGGTAAGTCTTCGTACTACAGGAGATAGGTCATCATACTGAAGAGGTTAAGTCATCATACTACAGGAGATAGGTCACCATACTGAAGAGGTTAAGACTTTGTACTACAGGAGATAGGTCATCATACTGAAGAGGTTAAGTCTTCGTACTACAGGAGATAGGTCATCATGCTGAAGAGGTTAAATCTTCGTACTACAGGAGATAGGTCATCATACTGAAGAGGTTGAGTCATCATACTACAGGAGATAGGTCATCATACTGAAGAGGTTAAGACTTTGTACTACAGGAGATAGGTCATCATGCTGAAGAGGTTAAGTCTTCGTACTACAGGAGATAGGTCATCATACTGAAGAGGTTAAGTCATCATACTACAGGAGATAGGTCATCATACTGAAGAGGTTAAGACTTTGTACTACAGGAGATAGGTCATCATGCTGAAGAGGTTAAGTCTTCTTACTACAGGAGATAGGTCATCATACTGAAGAGGTTAAGTCATCATACTACAGGAGATAGGTCATCATACTGAAGACGTTAAGACTTTGTACTACAGGAGATAGGTCATCATACCGAAGAGGTTAAGTCTTCGTACTACAGGAGATAGGTCATCATACTGAAGAGGTTAAGACTTTGTACTACAGGAGATAGGTCATCATTCTGAAGAGGTTAAGTCTTCGTACTACAGGAGATAGGTCATCATACTGAAGAGGTTAAGTCATCATACTACAGGAGATAGGTCATCATACTGAAGAGGTTAAGTCATCATACTACAGGAGATAGGTCATCATACTGAAGAGGTTAAGTCATCATACTACAGGAGATAGGTCGTCATACTATAGAGGTTAAGACTTTGTACTACAGGAGATAGGTCATCATACTGAAGAGGTTAAGTCATCATACTACAGGAGATAGGTCATCATACTGAAGAGGTTAAGACTTTGTACTACAGGAGATAGGTCATCATGCTGAAGAGGTTAAGTCTTCGTACTACAGGAGATAGGTCATCATACTGAAGAGGTTAAGTCATCATACTACAGGAGATAGGTCATCATGCTGAAGTGGTTAAGACTTTGTACTACAGGAGATAGGTCATCATGCTGAAGAGGTTAAGTCTTCGTACTACAGGAGATAGGTCATCATACTGAAGAGGTAAAGTCATCATACTACAGGAGATAGGTCATCATACTGAAGAGGTTAAGACTTTGTACTACAAGAGATAGGTCATCATGCTGAAGAGGTTAAGTCTTCGTACTACAGGAGATAGGTCATCATACTGAAGAGGTTAAGTCTTCGTACTACAGGAGATTGGTCATCATACTGAAGAGATAGGATATCATACCAAGGATGTTAAGCCATCGTACTACAGGGGTTAAGCCATCCTACAGATGGGGTTAAGTGCTTGTATTCAAGAAGTTAATACATCTTACTGATTGGTAAATTCATAATACCAAAGGGGTTAAGCTCTCATAATGAAGGAGTTAATAATAGTAATGAAAGGGTTATATTATCATATTGAATGGGGCTAAGTTATCGTTTTCAAGGGGTTAAGAGATTTTCTAAAATGGAAAAGTCATCGTACTGAAGGGGTTCGTTCACCTGAAACTACAGTAGTTTATTGTATTAAACCCACAAGACAAACTGGGACAACATCAAGGCTTAGAGAGGAGAAGGTGAGAACACTGAAAATGTGAGGCAGGTGATGGTAATAAAGAGGAGAGAGAGACAATAATGATGGTGATGACGAGGAGACAGAAATAATAATGGTGATGGTGATGAAGAGGAGAGAGAGAGACAATAATGATGGTGATGACAAGGAGACATAAACAATAATGATGGTGATGACGAGGAGACAGAAACAATAATGATGGTGATGACGAGGAGACATAAACAATAATGATGGTGATGACGAGGAGACAGAAACAATAATGATGGTGATGACGAGGAGACAGAAACAATAATGATGGTGATGACGAGGAGACAGAAATAATAATGGTGATGGTGATGAAGAGGAGACATAAACAATAATGATGGTGATGACGAGGAGACAGAAACAATAATAATGGTGATGACGAGGAGACAGAAACAATAATGATAGTGATGACGCGAAGACAGAAACAATAATGATGGTGATGACGAGGAGACATAAACAATAATGATGGTGATGACGAGGAGACATAAACAATAATGATGGTGATGACGAGGAGACATAAACAATAATGATGGTGATGACGAGGAGACAGAAACAATAATGATGGTGATGACGAGGAGACAGAGACAATAATGATGGTGATGACGAGGAGACAGAAACATAATGATGGTGATGACGAGGAGACATAAACAATAATGATGGTGATGACGAGGAGACAGAAACAATAATAATGGTGATGACGAGGAGACAGAAACAATAATGATGGTGATGACGAGGAGACATAAACAATAATGATGGTGATGGCGAGGAGACATAAACAATAATGATGGTGATGACGAGGAGACAGAAACAATAATGATGGTGATGAAGAGCAGAGAGAGACAATAATGATGGTGATGAGTAGACAGAAATAATAATGGTGGTGATGACGAGGAGACATAAACAATAATGATGGTGATGACGAGGAGACATAAACAATAATGATGGTGATGACGAGGAGACATAAACAATAATGATGGTGATGAAGAGGAGACAGAAACAATAATGATGGTGATGACGAGGAGACAGAGACAATAATGATGGTGATGACGAGGAGACAGAAACAATAATGATGGTGATGACGAGGAGACATAAACAATAATGATGGTGATGACGAGGAGACATAAACAATAATGATGGTGATGACGAGGAGACATAAACAATAATGATGGTGATGACGAGGAGACACAAACAATAATGATGGTGATGACGAGGAGACATAAACAATAATGATGGTGATGAAGAGCAGAGAGAGACAATAATGATGGTGATGATGAGGATAATGATGGTGTGGATGAAAATTATGATGTTAATTATGACGATAATGATAGTGATGATGAGAATAAAGATGGAGATGATGACGACAATGATGTTGATGACGAGGATAATGATGATGATGAAGCTAATTAGGGTGGCTATGATGATGATGATGATAATGATGATGATGTTGATGATGAAAAGGAAGATAATGATAGTGATGATGGGTACGATGATGGTGACGATGAGGATATAGGTGATGAGGATGAAGATAATGATTAAAAGGATGAGGATAATGATTGTAATGAGGATAATGAAGGAGATGGTGATGATGATGATGCAGAAGATGATGATGATGATGAAAAGGAGGATAATGAAATTGATGAGGATAATGATGGTGGATAATAATGGTGATGATGAGGATAATAATGTTGATGATGGAGATATTGATGTTGATGATAAGGATAATGATATATATTTATAAGGAAAATTATCACCAATACGAAAACTTATACCTTTC